TTTGGTTCATATTCTAAACAATTTTTCAAAACATTTACATCAACTTGAGGATTTAACTTTGTATATCTGGTAATAATACGGTCGTTTCCTAAACCGAAGAAAGAAGATACAAGTGGATGAATTGTTGTATTGAGTACTTTTGGAATAATACATAGTTCTGGATTAAAATCGCCTGGATACACTTTTTTTATTTGGTTTTCAATGGACATGGTGTTAATATAAACATTCTCTTGCTCTTTTCTACTATGAAGTCTTTTACTTATATCGGAATTTAAGATTGAGCCATTTACTAGAGATCCTATGTTCATGTCAGAGACGGTAGTTTGCATTTTGAAATTTTATAAATTCGATATTAATTCCAGTGTTAGCAAATAGAATAATAGAACAAAAGCTCAATTTTTTGTCTTTATATAAAAAAATTTTATATATAATTCTTTAAATATATATTGTTAGAGCATTAGTATAGCAATAAATTTAGGGAACGCCTATTTCCACCATTGAAATTTGCTATTTCCACCATGTTTTTCATATGACTTTCAGTTACATAAACATGACGAACATATTGTCATGAAAATTTACGTCAAATGGCGGAAATAGTAAATTTTCATGGTGGAAATAGGCGTTCCCTAAATTTATATTTAATTATAAAGTTCAATACTAAAAATTTACAATAGAAAAATAAAAAAAAAAGTGAATAGAATTATATGCCGGTTAAAGCGGAGCGAGGTCTAGGGTTACCTTTTTGATGCAGTTATGGTTAGCAGGTTATATAGATATCAAGAATGCAACTTATGCAGTATGTAGATCATATATTGAATTCGCTCTGCTCCTTATTTGGTTTTAGTACTCCGCAAAATCAAATTTTGATTTGATTGTGCGGAGTACTATTTGGTTTGTGTCACGGGCGCAAATAAGTGTACGCCTGTATCGGATAGTATGTCCGTACGTACCGAGTTTACTTATTTGCACGAGTAACACAAACCAAAAAGGAAATCAAATTTTGTAAATAAACTAAGTGCGTAAAGATAGAAGTTTAGGGTTAGGTCGTTAACATTAGCGGCTATATCCATAGATTGTTATTTTTTATATGTAAAATTTCGTTTCCGAGATTTTAATTAGTGTACCAAGGTCGATTTAAACACTAGTTTTTGGGATATTCTATAGAATAGGTGGGCAATATAAGAAATAAGCTTCGCTAATGATTTGTAATCATTAATTTTTTAATATCGGAGTTGCGGAGTTTGCGGAGTTTGCCCACCTATTCTATAGAACATCCCGTGCGTTAGCCATCCCTATTTTTGGAATAAATCCGAGAGTCTGCTGTGACAAAATCGGTGCGACAACTAGGACATATGACGTCACTTATAAAGAGATTCTAGATTTTTCACCAATCAAATCTTTCTGGCCCACGGGCCACCGTAGGTGACCATCCACTATTGAAAAGTGCCTATTCAATATCAAAAAGTGCCCAGACCAGAACCGGCCTGGACTGACCCTGATCAGCATGTTGACCCGGGTAGCCTGCGGGCAGGGTTGGCAATGGAGCAAATGGAGCTCAATGGTTGTGCGAATGGAGCTCAAAAAACTAGTATCCATTGACTCCATTCAGATCTCCATTGGTTCTATTCGCAACTCCATTGGGCTCCATTGAACTTCATTGCCAACACTGCCTGCGGGTCATGCATGACCCGTTTGAACACTACCCCAACCTATGGTGCAAAAAATCTAAAAATCACGATCACCTTATAGAGACAAAGTATAAACAAGTAGCATACTGAAATCAAATACAGCACTGTATTTTCTAAATTATTAACATCAATAAAGTGTGTACGTACAATAATACTTTATTGAAATCGATAATTTAAGAAATATTTGATTTCGATGTGCTACTTGATTATGCACCGGGCAGAAAATTTAACAATGTAACATATAATTAAGTAGTCGTAATTATGTACGTAGCGCATTTGAAGTCAAAGATTTCTTAAATTATCAACTTAAATAGAATACGTATTTATGTACATGCTTTATTGATGCTAATAATTTGGAAATATGCTACATACTTGTTTTATACTTTATAATGAGTGATTGCATTTCTTGCACCGTACCAGATTCCATATCGGCGGATTTGCAGAATTGGTCCTGGATTGATCCTAAATTGTATCCTCAAAGTTATCCGTAAAATGAACCCCCAAATTTTATAGGGTAAATAGATATAATAACACGTAGTATAAATTTTATACTACGCGTTATTGTATCTATTTGCCCTTTAAATTATCTTTATATGCGGATAACCGCAAATCCGCCGATATGCTCTTTTTCGCCATGTGATCTTGTCAAATAGTTGGTAAATAAATATATATATATATGATAGTTAACAAATCCTGTAAAGCATAAATGTAAATGATAGGACGTGTAAAGAGCGCAGCCCGGTGCAACTCCCATTGCGTGATTCCCCTAATCAATAAATAATAAATTGATCCGAGCGAGAATAATTAACTTTGTATGCATTATATACATTGGACAATATTTGATTCCGAAGCTATGTATCTATGTTTGCATCTGTTTTCGACACGATAATCTAATCAATTACATCTGTTTTTTTAAATTCAGTATTACATAACACTAAGTCTGCGCCTCTATATTTCAATTTTATCATAAATATAATTAACCCTAGCTGCCGCACCGATTTTGTCATGGAAAATTCTTGGCTAAAAGCAACGATCAAAAAGTTAGGCTGCAATTACTCAAAATTTTACTTAAAAGTGAAAAATATTCCTGGTCAATTTTTTCATAGTGTGGGCCTATTTCCCAAAATTTTCTATTTCCGGAGGTCGCCTAAAGCCTGTAGTATTTTATATGTGCCACAACTTTTAAGTTACAAATCGATTAGTAATCAATTTAAAAACTATAGTGCCCGACAAAAGTTTTCCTACACCTCTAGCTTTCGCTAGATCACATGCAGGCACATGAAATTTCATTCACATATAGTACATTGCATATGCAGATTGTACTAATGTTCTTTGTGCAGTCTTGATAGTAAAAATATCTACTTCAATTATGCATGAAATTTCAGCCAAAAAGATGCCTCTTGCTTTACTTAAACAATATAAAATTGTTTTTTAAGCACCCATTTGAAAGGCCCCAAGCTTTCAATCTGTAAAATAACAAAGTAAAGTTCACAGTGATAAAAGTTTCATGCATCATTGGGTAAAAAATCAAGAATCTAAGCAACAAACCAAGGTTGGGCCTAAAAGGTCACCACCCAAAGATAAGACAAATGGATTTTGAAGTTAGAAAAAGAAAATAAAGATATTACAGTCCCAGAAATTCATTATGAACTAATGAAATAAAACATCAATATTCATATGCACACTATTATGAAAAACTCTTAAAGCCTTTGCTTGGGGAGAAGTATTGAAAAAAATGCCTTTCGTAGGCAAAGAAGCATAAGAATTTTGACTAGAATTCTATGATATTTACTGACAAAAATACCTTCCACTTGAATTAATGACTAAAAAAGATATGGCAGTTTTTTAAAAGAAGAAAATTAATCTGTTCTATCAAGCATCTGATGAAGGTTCATGCATGGGGTTGTTTTCTTCTTTGGGCTTTGGCAGATTGGTCTGTTTTATATATAATTTTAACATACAATATATAATCATCCAATATAAAATAGGCTTTTTTCCTTCTGCTGTGGATCTTTTTAATGAACATTGTGATAGATGGATCTTGCAAAAGAACAACAATCTAAAACATTGTTCAAAAATTATGAAGGCTTAGAAGGAAAAAATAATGTCCAGGTTCTCTTCTGATTGTTGATATTATCTGACCAAAATCTAGATGAAAATGTCTGAAAGCTAGTAAAAATAAACTTGGCAAAAACAATTAGAACCCTTAGTTATTTTAAGAGTAAAATAATAAGGAAATAGAATAGTTTACTTAAAGAATATATAAAAATTTTGATTAAAAGTATGGAAGGTTATGCAGAAACCCTAATTAAAGTTAAGAGTGATTATACAATATATTAATTTTTTTTGTAATACAATATATTTTTAAATAAAAAAAATTTTTTATTATCTCATCTCTATACCGAGTTAGAGATGTGAGAAAACTTTTGTTGAGCACTATATCTGGTTCCAAGCTCATTAAAATTTTGTTTTAAAAAATAGAGATTATTTAGTAGAAGTGTTAAATAAATTTTATTATTGTTACTATTGTATTGGAGAAGCTTTTACAATATCTAGCTCCAATAGTTAACTTATATAACTAATATATTTAATAAATTAAATAATATAGTTATTATAGTAAGGGACATGACAAAAATCAGATGATTTTTTAGAGCGAAGAAAGGCAAAAAAAGTTAAAATTATATATAAGAACCTTATTTTTTTTTATATTAAAAGGTGGAAGGGAGGTAGGTCTCTGATACAAAATAATCAGATGATAAATGACATTGCCCTAATTGCTTGTACTGTAAGATTATATAATTAATTTGAGATCAAGTTAATTATAATCGATCAAGTAAATAATCAGATTAATTAAATAAATCAGTAATCATAATATATATATAGTACAAGGGTTGATATTTATAAGGTAAGGGTGAAATAATAAGAACAAGACAGAGATATGAAAATTATATATATAGTATATATAAAATATTCAATTTACTGATAATCAAAATTAAAAGTACAAATTTATAGTTTACTGAGTCTAAAAAAAAGCAATTTTATTTTATAAAAAAAAATTGCAATTTTTTAAATATTGTACTCGACTAATACAAATTTTATTGTACTCAACTAATATATTTTACTGTATCTAACTAATTCAAATTTTTACTGCACCTATCTAACAAAAATTTTTACTATGCTCAACTAAACAAAAACTATAAAACAAAGTTTCAATTTTTGAATACTGTACTTAACTAACAAATACTTGTATTTTTTAAATACTATGCTCAACTAAATAAAAACTACAATTTTTTTAAAAATAAAACCTAATAAAAATTTTAAATCTAATTCATCCAGAATTATTAAAATATATTAGATTTAGTATTCTTAATTATTGTAGATAAAACATCTGATTTTTGTGTTTGTAGTATTATAAACATACTTTTTTCTTATTATGATATTATCAAATTAGTTGAAGTGAGTTTTTTGGATTAAGTTAATAATAAAACTATTAGAAAACTAATTATTTAAATATTAGTACAATAGTTTATACTATTTAAATATCCTTGTCTTATTGCTTCAGATTTAGCTATATATATGAAAAAGTGTTATCATGAGATTTTAAAACTACTTTTATCACAAATAATTTATAATCCTTGCTT